GGTTTAGAGGAGAGGATGCTCCAACTATTGTAGTTCAGCCGTTGGCGATTGAGTTGCGTGGGTGTCAGGATGCGAGACCCTGAATGATATGGATCACAGAGACGAGGACGAAAGATTGATTAGGAGTACCTCAATGAGAGAGGTTCAGGTCAGGTGAATTAATTGGAGGGTCTTGGGCGGAGACCCAAGAGTTTGGATCAGCTTTTGAGAGGCCAGCAGGGTCGGATCCAGTGCAATGCTTGTAGAAACTGCTCGATGAGGTTTCGTTCCAAGGGTTGGATTGTCATTTGGATTGGAATGAGGTATTACATCATGTTCTCAGGGTGGTCGAGGTATCACAGGAGAAGGTAGTCAGGATTCCTTCAGATGTTTGCGGATATGCTAGCTTCTGCCACTTCAGGTGGACGTCGAGAATTTGCATCAGTTTGGAATTGTGATAGGTTAGATCTCGGGTTGGTTTTCTGCTATTGTCTGGGTTAGCAAGGGTTTTCAGATGCCATTCAGCATGTCGAGGAATCTTTGAGAGATCTTCAGACGGACGTATCTTGCGGAACGGATTCCGCATGTACCGTGATTGCTCTGAGTCATTATCGGAGGCTGTTTGGTGATCTGGGTTGCTACAGGTGTCGCAGGTTTGGCCACGTCAACAGGGACTGCCCATAGGGGGCAAGTCTGTCATCTTGTCATTGTGGGCAGATGGGTGACAAGGAAGTCGATTGTCTGATGATCAGAGAGAAGCAGTGAGTGCATCTGTTCTGGATATTTTGCGGATCACCAATGGACTAGAGGGTAGAGCCAGAGCCCCAGCAGATAGGGGCCCCACTTTGCAGGATCAGACATGAGAGAGATCGGAACTTCATCAGGCAAGGGTGCGAGGTATGTACCCTTTTGCCTCCCTACCAGCTTTGACTATATTTAGTAGCAGGTAATTTTTCATCAGCATTAGTAGGCGTATCGTTGGTTGTTATCTCTGGTTGTGGTTGACTTCCATGTGTACCTTCAAGAAGAATCATATGCCATCAACATGCCATGGATTTTGGTGGGATAGTGCAAGGTCGTCTCTTTACATATCGCAGAGTTTTCAGTATGCGCGTGTCATTTTGGGTATGGTCGGGATTGGTTCAAGGGCTTGTACGAGGGAATTTTGACAAGGTTCCAGTAACCTTAGCTGTCATGTTTGGAAAGGCTTCCAAGGTTGTCAAGTGAAGAGATAGTTATTGCTGAAGTTTTGATTGGAACATCCGACCTTTGGACTTCGAGACCTGAGTGTGATATCTGTATAAGCAGTTAGAGTCTTTGGCATTGTTGGGATTCAAGAAGTGTTAGATGGTTTTCGGGAATCATGTTGTTTTGGAAGGGTTATTCATGGTGTTCAAGCTTTGTTAAGCACCGGCCGTCAGCAGATTGATCATTTGGAACGAGAGAGGGTTTGGGAATCCTTCAATTCTCATATGTTGAGCGGACTTAGTTGAATCTAAGTGGGGGAGAGTTATTCAGATATCCATGATAGAAGCAAGTGTAAGACGAGGATGCGTCTCACATTCCTCTTTGGGGGAGGAAAGTCGGCCTTAGGGGCTGACTTAATATAGGATATCGTGGATGGGAGTTCGGGAAACTCCCAAACATTTGGATCGTGTCGTCTGATGTCATATAACAGGCTTTGGGGGAGGGAACCAGGTAGAGTTCCATTCAGTGTTTGAGTTCAGTTGGGAGAATAGACCACGTGGGCGCTCAATGTTGAGATGTGTTTGGATTGATAAATGAGCGATAGGGCTATGGTCAGTGATCATGTGAGGGTGAAAGTGTTGTAAGACTACGGGGGAGCCATAGCATTCACTAGCAGTTGGATAGTGTGGAAAGTGTTGTAAGACTACGGGGGAGCTGTAGCATTCACTAGCTGTCGGGTAGTATGGAAAGTGTTGTAAGACTACGGGGGAGCCGTAGCATTCACTATCGGTCAGATAGTGTGGGAAGTGTTGTAAGACTGCGGGGGAAACCGTAGCATTCACTAGCAATAGAGAGTGTTGTAAGACTGCGGGGGTGTCGTAGCGTTCACGGATTCTTCCAGGTGATTTGGACTAGTGCTGGCTAGTTCGCAGGGTTGTAGGGGAGCCACAACTTGGTTAGGATCAGGACCAGAGGTGATTGACCGATCAGTTATCCGGGGGCGAGCCCAGATGGTTATGGGAATGTAGGACGGAACTGGTAGAGGCTGTTCAGTCGCAGGATCTTTTCGATAAGTGGTACGTGACGCAGGAGGGCTACGGCTGGGTAGTCCTGATATTTGATCTCTCGGGAACCTGGTGGTTGGACCGGGTGCGAGAGTGGTAGTCTCAGGGATCAGCTAAGGGTATCTATTTACCGATAAGGTAAGGGATGTTGGAAGTTATGGTGCATTATGGATCTCGCGTATGTTCAATACAGGATTTTGTTTCAGTGAGATGAGATTTGGGAACATAAGGATGCCAAGGGCATCAAAGGCAGGGTACCAAGGTAATGAATGGGTTTGGTTCGATGGTAGCTTAATCCATCATGATGTGTCTCGGGATGGTTCCATCAATAATAGGGCCACGACATGTTGGAATCGGGAAACGGCAAGACGGAGGAGACTGGGAATGACGAAAGACTACAGTATTCGGGTAGCGCGCACTATTGTATTGGATTCAGTGGCGACAGGGTGTCGGGTTATGATGATTGGATGTGTCAGAAGGATCGGTGGAGTCATGAGTGGCGGTAGGGCAACTACTACTAGACGGGGTCGCTTCGGAGGTCGCAGGGGACTTCTGAGTGTGTTTTGGCTCAGCAATCAGGTATGTGTGCGGTGTTCAGGACATTGGTAGACAGGTTGGGACCAGGGAGGTCCCTGGGTGTTCTCTAGGAAAGTAGCCATGTGGCAGCAAGAGTAGTAGGAGCCACTTCAGTGATTTGGGGTATGTTTGTGGAATGGCTTGTTATTCGGTAGACGCAGTTGATCGGTGATTTTGTTCTGTAGGAAGCCTCAAGGTATTACGAGTGGGAAGTATTCTATCTAGGCTGGTTTCTTGTGAAATCAGTTCAATGTGGGCAGTCTGTCAGGGAGACAGACCATCTCGAACTTCAGAGTTCGGATGAAGTAGATGTGATCAGGTTGCAAGGAATTCGTTCATATTTGGGTTCTAGAACCCTGCGAGGGTTGGTTTCAGTTGCCTTGGGAAGGTTGTGGTATTCTCGGGTTTATGGCGGTGTTGCTTAGGTTGTCTGGTATTACGGGGATAGTAATGCATGATTTCGAGGACGAAATCTAATTTATGTGGGGGAGAGTTGTAACGCTCTGTTCCGAATTGACTTCTAGTCTGAGGCTGTGGGCCGAAGGTTGGTCATCATAAGGAGTATGGCTCTATAGAAGGTAAGATCTAGGCCAATTTGGGTGCGGGTGATGTATTAGAAGTGATTCAGGTGTTCGGTTTGTGTTTTAGAGCTTAGGGGTATTTCGGTAATCTTGGGATTAAAGGAATTGATTAAAAGAACGGGGACTATTTGCAAATCATTGATAGTTGCAAAACTGGGCTGCTGGACTCCTTTTGGATGGGGTGGACGAAATCTATAGGGAGGCCCTATAGAATTCGTCCAAGGCCTCTAGAAGGGGAAGTCCATGGACTGCTTAGGGCCTAAGCAAGAGATTAGGGTTTCCACCTGAAAACCCTAACAACCTCAACTATTTAAAGACCCCTACACATGTGATTTTCGGCCACTGCTTCATTGGAGAAAACCCTAGCCGAAATTCTTACTGTTTCCTACCCTATCCTTCTCATCCTCTTGCTACAAGTGTTTATGAGCCATTAGAGGTGCAACATTTGGGGCACTAAAGCTTTCAAAGGTCAAGATCAAGCAAGGAATACTTGTTATTACTATATAGCAAACAAGGTAATCTTCATAATCCTTTTCATATGTTAATTTCTAATTGTATATGCTAGATCTCGGGTTATTGCTTTGAATTTCTTTTGCATGTTCAATTAGTGAAAAACTTATATTCAAAGCAATTAAGGTTGCATGAACACATAGGATGTTGCTATGCTCAAAACCCAACAGTAACACCCAATGCCAATTTGTATTTGAAAAAAAACATAATTTTTTTTGGGACCACATTTTGATAAATACGACATTAAGTCTTAAAATGTTTTGAAAACCATATTATTTTAAAAAGCATAAAGTTTTGGTGTTACACTAGACTTCTTCTTTAACTCCTTAGCGGGTACTCTCATCAAAAAGCACAAACTAATTCAAGATGATTATCGAACAAAGGCAATGTACTCTTAAAAACTGTTCTTTCCGGTTATGAAACCTTAAAACCAAAACCGATATGGGAACCATACACTACACCTCGGTTCAATTATCGGTTCCTCCCACGAAGTCGGTTTTGGGTTTTTCAGTTCTAATTTTAAAACCGATTGATCCCTAATATTTTATTTTAATCTTGGAAGATGTTATTGGTATGAAACATCATTTACAAAGAGATAAGAAAAGGAGTTGCAAAAGAAAAAAAAATGACTTGCTTTCAATTTACATCTATTAATCGGGAGACCATAATTATTGATTTGGAAAATAATAATGGAATTAGAAAAAGCCTTGATGATAATTAAGGTTTTGTTATTGTGATACAGTAATTTCCCGACATCAAATCATAAAATATGGGTTTCCATAAAATATGGTCAAAGGTTCGTTCTGTCATCAACCTAATTTATGATTTTGGGTCGACCTTTTCTTGCTTTTCTCCATTAAATAATAATGGGTTTTCATGATTTTGGAACACTTCAAAGTTCAAACCCCCATCGTCTACAAAAATCCTACATAGTGTCCCCAAATTACCCTTCCATTTCCCCAAAACACAAAAAGAACCAAAACTAACACATACATAAAGCAAGTAAAATAACACAAACACCGTAGTTCATCGCCATGTCAGCTTGTTAGGGGTTCGTCACATCCTACAGAACCTAAGACTTCTTTCTCGACTCCATCGTCAACTATGCATCTGCCCATGCAGCAAAAATCGGCATATGAGACCTCAGTTGGGTCGTTGTTGCAGCTACAGTCGGGATCCATGTATTCATTGCCGGCGGCATCCCAAGAACCATCGGAAGATTCTTGTTCCTTTTCATGCATTCTTCGCCGGAGTCACCATGGTTCTTGATAGTCGAGGACTCATCTCCCTCAACTGCACCACCACTGTTTTGCTCATATACTTCCGTTTTCCATTCCAACATGCTACCATCACTAGTGACATCATTCGAGAGGGTTTTGTGTTCACCATTATGAGCCTCGTTAGCCACAACCTCGGTCATGGGCTCTGGTGCTTTAGTTCGCCTTGCTAGTTCCCCGGATAGAAGGGTGTTGCTCTCCATGATCCTTTCCACATTATACCTTGACACATCAAAGTTTGTAACCGCATTTACACCACGAAATTTGATAGCAGCAACATCATAAGCCTCCGCAGCATCCTCCTGAGTGCCTACAATGTTATATAACTTAAAACTTTATGAACGTTTCCACAACTGATTACGTCTGCAATGTTTTTTAATTTATCAACATGACTTACTAAATGTGCCTAGGTAAAGATCTTTGTTCCCTGCCACACGACCAATCCGAGCTTGCCATCTGCCATGTTGATGGTGTCTACAAATCACAAATTTGAAATGCAATCTCAATAATTTTTCTTTCTTGTGTGCATCGTATAATTTTGTTTACTTATAAATTTAAAAATATTAAATCTTGGACCTTGTTACTCCTCTATAAATTGAAGCTCCCCTAGAGAAACCGCTGCTTCTCCTGAATAGAATTTAAAGAAAATATATATCACATCTTAAATACGAAGTTAATAAATGTGAGGGTTGAGATATTTTATGATTTTTTTAAAACAGCAGGAAGCAAATATATTAAATGACTGCCCAGGGACCAGGAGGTACAAGGATAACAAGTTTAAATTACAAAAAAGCAAAAACAGTTACAATTTTTTACTACTAAAATGAGTATGATTTTAAAGTCGGAATCTTGGAAAGAAAAAGGTTACCTTCTCAAGTGAGCAACGTATTCTTGTCTAGACATATTCTTCATTTCTTCAAGCTCTTGTTCATAGTTCTCCACCTAAGTCAACATTTTTTATGTTAACATCCACTCGATTTTGATAAAGAAACATAAACTTATATAATTTGATATCTAATGAAGTACTACCGGAAAGTTAATATGAGTTGAAGATCCCCAATACTTGAGTGCTGCTAGATCATAAGCTCTAGCAGCTTTCTCTTCCATATCATAACCCCCTAAAAGTCAACATCATGTACTCATAAGTCAATCTTGATTTGATTAAAAAGTCAAAAAATGTGACTAAAAGCCTAAAACAAGAAACTGAGGCTTACCCAGATAAACTGAAGCATAGTTCACAGTCCATGAAACAAGAGACAGAAAATTGGTAAGAAATTGTAGATTTATAATTTGTCAAAATAGGCAAAATGACAAAAGTCGACGTTTCTAACCTTGTCTTCCCTTCCTCGTCTGGCCTTCTTTTCTACAACTGTTGTCCCATAAATGAGCTTCATATCTACCCGTCCATCTATGCCTGATGTAAATAAAGATTCAGATATATAATGTAAACATCTGAAATCCAAAACAAAAATTCCACAAGATACATGAAGAACAACAGCATGAAATAAACCTGGTAACACCCCTATACTGTGATGTTCGTTGACCAAATGTATCTAAAGATTTTCTGTGAACAATCTGCTTCTGTTGATCCACCTTCTCCGACCCTCTTTTCTTGGTTTCCATAACGACAGTTTCAGTGACGTTAGCTGGAGTCATTTGTTGCTGTGATATAGTGACACATGAGCTTGATTGTGAACAACCAGGGCTCATTGACAAGCTAAGTGACTGTAAACCGCCACCGCCACCGCCACCGGAATGGTAATCTGTTGAAATCCAACCTTCTCCGATAGTTGGTAGGTAGAGACCAGAAGAAGAACCTGAAGCAATCTGGGACTCCTTGGCTTCTTGTAGTTGTATTGTTTGATACAACCCATTGTAATCTTGGTAGTGTTGGGGTTGAATCTGATAGTTTTGAGTCCCATTCTCATGGTTGTAGTACATTGCATCGGTATCTAAATCAGTGGTCCCCATTGTTACACCACCAAAAAAGTTCTCAAGTTTTGGTGTTGTTGAAGCTACCATCCCTAAAAAGAAACACACCATTAGTAACATTTCCAGCAAGAAACGGACTTTCTAAAGAAAACAAACCTTGTGATTGTGATCTTGTGATGGTATCCATTAGGCAAAGTGAGCCATCAGACTTGAGGGGCATTATAGGGAAAGTAGAGTAAATCCCACCACCATTTACACCCTCAACTCCACCACAGTAAATGTTTTGGTAGTTAAAATGGGAAGGGAAAGTGAAAAAAGATGTGGTATTTGACTCATTCGAGGGAGAAGAGTGAGCAGCCACTGATGAGTGAGGAGAAAGAGAGAAACCCAGCCAGTTGTCACTATTTTTGTTGTTGCCATTGTTGTCATTAGTCTTCATTGTATCCCCCGAATCAAGTTTGAAATTTTCTTGGTTCAAGAGCAAAGGGAAAAGAGAGAAAACTTGATCAATGATTGGTGTAGTAGTAAACTAATCATACACATTTTCCCCACCATTCTTGAAACTAATAAGAATAGGGTGGGGGCGGGAGGGTGGGGGAGAGAAGAAGTCTAGAGTCTTATCTTTTTGTTGTTTTCTAGTTGCAGACTCGGTAGAAAACAGAATCTATATGGATACTTACATACATAAATGTATGTATACATAAAAATCTAAATGAAAATCAATTATATTTACTAGTCTTTATCTATATATCTATATGAAAAGATTGGTAAAGGGGAACAAAGCAAGTTCCTTCAAACTTATACAAAAAGAATGAGTTTACAGCAAACAATGTTGGGAATCCTTCCAGCATTGCATGGGGATCTGTGAATGAGAAAGACTTGATCTTTTGCCTCTCTCTCTCTCTCTCTCTCTCTCTCTCTCTCTCTCTCTCTCTCTCTCTCTCTCTCTCTCTCTCTCATCCCCTGTTCTTTTCTCTTTTACTTTATGTGATACATATCCTCTCTCATCTCAGCTGTAATATAAATGTATATGCAATATATGGTATATTCTTTTTGGGAAATATTTTTGATAACAATGTTTACTCAATAATAGAGTTTATATGTCTTCGCAGCAAATCTATGTCGCATGCTAAGGTATTTTGGTATACATTAAACAAGTCATGTTTGTTGTTGATGTGATATAATGGTGAGAATAGCAACACCTTCATGTATAATTGTGATGGAGTAGTGGACTGTAGCAAACATCACAATTAACACATTCAATTCTATTTTTTTTTACCACCACAATTAACCACACTCAATCGTATTTTTTCTATCTCTTTCTATTCCTTCCTAGATTTTAAATAATTACAAAATATTTTTTTATTAAATAATCAATAAAATATGAAAAATATAATGATGTGGAGCAACTAAGTATACCAAACTAATACAGATGTTTGTAGTTTTAAGCACTCGACAAATTTATGTTTAATAGTGGTTACTTCAAAAGGCTTAAGGTTTACGCTCACGTCTAACATCATAACACAAAAAATATTATAATTTTAATGTCACATTATCATCACTTTCACACCATCTATCTTAGAAAATACCTATCATTTTATAATCCCAAAATAATTTACATCTTATTATTTATTTATTTAAAACAAATAATCTAAATATCTAAAAGTTAATTAAAATAAATAGATTTTGTAACATCTCAATGATTAGGTACTTCTAATTGATCATATAATTGAATTATATTGCATTTTGGTCCCAAAGTTCAAGAAAGAATGCAAAAAGGGCTCATAGTGGCATTTTGATAAATTGGGACTTTGAGGAGCACGTTTTGCGTATGTGTGTATGCTGAGCGTACTAGGGTGCGTCTTAGTATGCTGGACGTATACCTCGTACGCAGAGCGTACGTGGAAAGCATGCAAACCCTAATTTTTAGGGTTTGGCTCATATTTAAGCATCCTTAAAGCCTTACATTTCGTTCTTACCCAACCTCCTTCTGTGACATCGACCCCCAAGCAACCCTAAGAGAAAAGAGCAATTTTGGAGCTTTTAAGAGAGTTTAGAAGTGGTTTTGAAGAAAGAAGAAGGTGGTGAGAAGATCTTGGAGTTGAGAGCACCTTGGATCTGTGATTTCTACCTTGTTTGCAACCTCCAGAAGGTATAAAGCTTGCAACTTTTTCACTCCATCTTGTAGATCTAGTTTTTTGCTATTTTAAGTCACTTTTTGGTCCCAAAATGGTGATTCTTGAGGATGACATGTTCTTGAACCATTAAGCCATCATTTCAAACCTTAGGAAGGGTCTTGAATCATAAAAATGGGGTCTTAATGGTTGGTTTTGATCCATCCATTCTTTAGGAGGTCTTAATGTATAAAGACCTTGAGTTAAGCACTTAATGGAGATGCAAGGTGATAAAGTTGGAAACTTTATGACTCTTGTGGATGATTTAGCCTTGGATCTGAAAGTTAGATGTAAGAGCTTAAGGCATTAAGCCCTTAATGAGAGTTTTGGAAGACTGGGTGTACGCCCTGCGTAATCTAAGTACGCAGCGCATACGTGATCACCGTCCCCAATGGTGGTGAGAGCTTGAGTACGCCCCGCGTACATTTGGAGTACGCCCGACGTATGTGTTATGTGTCGACTCGGCTGAGTTGACTCAGCTAGGTTGACTTAGTCAACTTATAGATTTTGACCAAGTTTGATTAAGGGGTATTTTGGGTAATTTGAATGGTATTTGAGAAATTGGTCATTTGGGTGGATAGGTGACGGTTGGAGTTGAGATTCGGAGTAGTGACCTCATGAGCTTTTGTCCAGTCTGTAAGGTGAGTTTTTCCTCACTATACTTTCGGGTCGAAGGCACCAAGGCCGACCCATTGGATTAAATATCTTGTTTTATGATAGTATGTTATCTTGTTGTAGTGATATGTTATATATGTATCCTGGTATATAGGATGATGCTATGCTTAGTGATCTGGAGATCTGTCCGATGACTAATTATATGTTTATCTGTTATATGTGCTATATTGTTATGTGCGTTGGCCAACAGACCGGGGGCATTCCAACCTGATGGTTGATAGGGCCTGAGGTTATTCCATCCCGAGCATGATTGGAGCCGTTGTATATTGGCATTCCAACCCGATGGTTGACTGGGCTTGGGGTATTCCAACCCAATGGTTGACTGGTCCCATTGTATATTGGCATTCCACCTAGGGTATTCCATTCTTAGGATGACTGGACCTGGAGGGTGATTGGGCTTGGGGTAATCCAACCTAATAGTTGATTGGACCGACATGTTGTTGTATATGTTATCTGTCACACCCCCAAACCGGAACGGCGGAAACGTTCGGGGGCGGAGGACGTCATGTCAAGTATCACAACACATGCATTATACTAATCAAAGTACAAACAACCATTGTATTAATAATGTATAAGTTTTTACATAAGTGTTTAAACATTACATATTCAAACATCAAAAGTAGATATAGCGAAAGACGAAAGACGCAACATGGTACTAGGCTGTCTTCTCAAAAGCTCCGGAAGTGTACCTGTCTATTGGATTCTTGAGAATACAAGTTATTTTGAAAGAGAGGATCAACATTTAAGCTGGTGAGTTCATAAGTATTAGTTATGGTTGCTCTAGTTTTAAGAAAGTGATTGGTTAAGTTCCAGAAAATCCTATATTTTCTGCTGTATATAAAAAGTAGTTTTAATCCCATAAAACTGTTCCATTTAAGTGTTATTGTACTTATAACCTAGTATGACATAATTTTAATTCACCATAAAATTAAAAGAAGAATGTTTTCTGTTTTGGTTGTGGAAAATGATTGATGCAGTAGTATTTCTTAAAAATACACTACTGGTGTAATAACCACCCTATTATTAAACTGGTTAATTAGGGTTAAAATGTGATAAAGTTGTAACCATGCTAATAGACTAGAGTAAACAAGACAACCTTCTGGTGTCGAAACTGAATATGTGACATTTGTCACCCCATGGCTCGCCTGCCGGACTGTAGCTAACAGTCGGGATGTGGGATTGTCAATCCCGTATAGATTTATACACACAATGCCCGATCTCCCTCCAGGAGACTCTGATTACAAGAATGTAACATAGCAAGTATATGGCTATGTCCTGAAGACGTACCATCACATTTTTGGTTTAAGTAAAGATAGAGTTATATCCTTTTCTTGACAAAGTAGTTTAACCTCGTATACTTATCTTGAAAATAGATTTCTCGTTTGTTTTATAAATTATACCTATTATAATTTATATGGTCTATCTGTTTAGCCTGATCTCTCATGAATGTACCCCTTTGCTCAGCGTGATACAAAGGTAATGATACTAACTGAAGTAACCTTTTATATTCATTTATGTATAATATTTAGAATTAAAAAGGAAACGACCTTCGGACAAATAACACCACCTTAAGCCCACATCCAAACAAGGAAAAGGAAATAAGGCAATTCATTAGTCCTAAGCCCTTTAAGTCTTATTTATATACCTATATATATAAACATGATTTTGACAATTATAAGTTTAAAGAGTTATAAAAACATTTAAAAGAGTTTAACGGTATTCTAAAAAGAGTTTATGTGACTTTTAAAAGAGTTTACATGACTTTAAGTCATTATGGAAGTATTTGGTAATCCTTTATTTTAAACACAATATTTAAAAGTATAAGAATTAACATTAATGATCCTCTAGAAGAATGGTAACCACAATAGTTCTTACTATAATCACATGGTTTATACTAACTATATATAACCTAATATCGAACGGACAATTGAATGTGTGAATCTGCCCTAAGTCCACAACCAAACAAGGAACAGGAGATGAGGCGGAAGTCACACATTCCATTGCCTATCGGATATTAATTATATATAACTCTGATGTATAAACTAAGGAATTATAGAATTAACCATTAAAAGGTCCTTTATGTTATACTAGTTTAATAATCAGTATTAAACCTTTTGTATGATTGTTATCACAAGTAAATATTAACACAATTTAATTGTGTTCAACTTGTATTCCCCCCTTAAAAGCATTTAAAACCATTGAAAAGGTAGATTATAGGGGTATGAACTCACCTTATGTTGTTGATTCGATTGAAGGTATGGTATGGGATGATAAGTTTCAAAAGTGAAGTCTCGAGCACAAACGGGTCCTAATTAGCATATTATTACACATATATGTGTAAAGTTAGTGAATATAACTACAAAGGTGTTTAGGAAAAAACCTAGGATGCAAGAGTAACTCACCAAAAGAGTGTTAGAAGCTAGTTATGAGGCTGAAATGGAGTTCACGGCCAGGAAGGAGTGTTCACGGCGTAAGAACACATGAATGTTCATCGCCCAAGTTGAAGGGTTCACGGCCCTATGAGTGGTTCACGGCCCAAGAACATGAAGAACACTTGAAGATTTTGGTGTTTAGCAAGTGCTTGAAGGCCCCTTTGTTGTATTCCACGATGATACAAAAGAAAAGGGGTGTTTAAGGGAAGAAAATAGTGTTTCTTGAGGATGATACTTGAGAGAGAATGGGAGGATCAC